GGCCCAGTGTTGAAGAATTTCATGCAGCCGCATTTCTTTTATAGCATTTTTATTGGTTCTTAAGAGGTAATAAGATGAAGGAGGGATGCTAGAGGAGGCGATGTCTCCTATACAGGGGTGGGTTCTACTTATCTTTACTATCGGTTCACATCGTGCCTGCGCAGATCACTTCTGATGACATCCGGGTCAGTGGGCGGAGCCTCCCGCCCAGTGGTGGGTTTCAAAAATTTTTACTACCGGTTCTATGGGCGTGGCTTGGTGGGCGTGGCATGGCTTGGTGGGCATGGCAGGGGAAGGGTACTGTAAAATCTCCATTCCCACCCCACTCCGGGGGAAGGAAACTGCAAAATCCCCATTTCCTCCCGATCAGCTGGGATTTGGGAGGCGGAGAATAGATGGGGGTAGGGCAAGTCAGATTTTTTACTACTGGTTCTCCGAACTACTCAAAATTTCCACTACCGGTTCTCCAGAACTGGTCAGAACCTGCTGAAACCTACCTCTGCTCCCACCGGTTTTACTACCGGTTCTTGCAAAACGGTCCGAACCGGGGGCAGCCCAGACTGGCTCTCAGCTCAGTCCTAGAATGTTGTCCAGAACAGGAAACAAATTCTACAAGAAGACTAGATAGTTTGCGGTAGTTTATTGGTGGTCACCTCCATGACTCCCTATATTGCAAACTCAGGGAACAAGAACTACTTGGATGTTTGGAGCGATATTTATCGATCGTAGGTAAATAGAACAGAATGTCGAAGGAACAACCTGATATACTAGGAGAGCTCTTTGCTTTTTCATGCTGCGTACTCTGCCATGCCTGTAATCTGTCTGCTGGGTCAGTTTTGGACAAAGGACACCTTTAATGCTCTTTCAAAAATGTACCCGAGTCATATTCAAAACAAATTGACAAGGAATGGCCATAAAGGCAGTTTGAAAGATAGGTAAATAATTGGTCCAGGCTTCTACTTGCATTCACCCAACTACCCCCTGCTGCACATTAAGGAGAGTGATTGCTGGATGCATTTTCCACTGGGAGGTCATGTGGACAGAAGTATAAACCAAGCTGAGCGGTTCCAACTAACTACTGCCTTTAAATTGTACTGCATTAAAAATTAAGGACAGGACCATTTGCCAGCCTCTTTACTCAGACAGAATAGAACTCAATTGCCAGGACAGTACAATTCATGCTGATATATTTTCATGTCAATTCAAGGATTAGAAGAAAGCACATTAATAGAGCTATTATGAAGCAAAGCAATGAGTGATGAGCTTTGGGAATGGGCCCTTTCAATCATCATGTTATAAAAGAGCCTTAGAAAGGTAGTATTGTAGCTTTCCAGAAGTGACATTCATCTTATAATATGTGGGGTAAGTCTTGGATGGATTTGGCCATATTCGGTAGAACTTGGAATTTTGCCAGTGATGTTCTGGCAAAAAGTGGAACCAATGACAAATCAAAGAGCTGGTGAGTGGACTGACTCTTCAATAATTCCTCTCTAGACAAGAGACAGGGACACCATGGCTCAGTGGCTAAGACGCTGAGCTTGTCGATCGAAAGGTCAGCAGTTCAGCAGTTCGAATCCCTAGTGGCGCGTAATGGGGTGAACTGCCAACCTAGCAGTTCGAAAGCATGTAAAAAATGCAAGTAGAAAAATAGGGGCCACCTTTGGTGGGATGGTAATAGTGTTCCATGTGCCTTTGGTGTTGAATCATGCCAGCCACATGACCATGGAGACATCTTTGGACAGCGCTGGCTCTTCGGCTTTGAAACAGAGATGAGTACCACCCTCTAGAGTTGGGAACGACTAGCACATATGTGCGAGGGGAACCTTTACCTTTACCTTAAGACAAGAGAGGACTTGAGACATCCCACAAGTGCTTCAGACAGCTGCTCCAGATGAGGAGATTGCAAGACAATAGTCTCTAGTGGGTTTTTAGCACTGGGAAATCAGGGGAATAGCCATCTTGCTCAAACTGTGGTTGGCCCCTTTGAAAGGACACTAAGTCCTCATAATTCCTTTTTTAATCATTTTTTGAAATTGCTTGCATTTGCTTCCCAGCTATTAGGAACTTTTGGATCAACATGTTTTTACAGTGCCAGGTGAATTTTCTTCCATTCTTAATGAAAGAAATGTTAAATACAAGATTAAGGGCATTAAAAATGGAATAAATAGCAAAAGGGTGATTAAAACTGTGATTTTAAAAAGTTACTAATGGACTCAGGGTCCAGATAAATTTGAAACAAAGTGTTGGAATTAATTATAAAAACTCCTTCCCATGGGAAATTTGTTTTTAATTCCTTTTCAGAAACATAATACAGGTAGTCAATTTGCAACCACAATAGGACTGGAAAATTCATCATTAAGTGGTACAGCTATTAAGTAACCCACCCAATATTATGACCTTTTACGTCATTAAGCAAATTGTCATGGCCATTAAGCAAGATATCATGTGACTGTGACTTGAAACCTTCCCTGCTGGCTTTCCTATTAACTTGGCTTGTCAGAAGCTACCTGGGGAGGTTATAAATAATGATCACATGACCGCAGGATGTTGTGATCATTATAAATGCACAACAGTTGCCAAGCACCTGAGTCATGATAATGTGATCGTGGGGACTCTGCGAAATAAGTGCAAGGACTGATTGTAAGTCACTTTTTTCAATGCCATCATAACTTTGAATGGTTATGATGGCATATGGTTAAACTAATGACCATTAAGCAAGGACTATCCATAATATAAGATGTTAAAAAGTGGACACTTGAGGGAAGTAGAGAGAACTAAATATTATAATTAAAAGAGAAGAACACTCAAACTCAACTCACAATTACAGAATGAAGCCAAATATTTTAACATTGAACATATTGAAGGGTATTTTTGAACAATGAATCCAGAAGTTAATTTTAAGAATGTTTGCCTCTATAGATAGACTGTGTCTAATAGATGTTATGAAAGAAGAACAAGTTTTACCTGACAAGATTGGGAATGCTTTGAAAATGGATTTAAAAATGACATGCTTCAAGTATGAGATGGAAAAACATGTTACACTGGACATATAAAACAAACTGATTGATGCTTTAATAATTAAAAGGGATATGCAAATAACAAAGTGATCTCGATAACTTTCCTACATTAGATTTGCAAAGGTGCTTTGAAGAATTTGAGTGAAAAGGGACAAAGAAAAAGTGAAAAGAAATCAAGTACTGTACTAGAAAATTATTTGAAGGGACTAAAGATCAAAATTGTTATAAATAAAGGGAAGGAATACAAAGTTGATTTATTTAACCAAGTTAAAATAGATAGTTTGTTATCTGTTGCAACCCTGTTGTTTTTGCCGACATCAGGACTGAAATGATGAAGCTTTAAGGATTAGTTTATAGACAAGAAATGGGATATGAAAAAAGAGATCATTTGTTGTATTTAAGAGAAGGTGATAAGTTACTAAAATTGTTTGTGCATTGTGATAAAGGCTAATTCACTTCTCTGTATATTTTTCTTTTTTTTTATTACAGTCTTATTTTTCCTTCCTATTCTTCTTTCTATTTTTCCCTTTTTCCTTTCTTTTCTCCACCTTTGATTTTTTTTTTCTTTTTAATATTTTTTTTAGCTTGTAGTAGTGTTGTTGTTGTTTTTTTGGTTGTAATTCCAATATTTAATAAAATTACTATTAAAAAAGAACTTAGCCAGAGACATGGCATTGTTGGGAATTTATTTTTTTAATTCTATTTTAACAAGATGCTTATGACAAGGGTAGAATTAAGTTTGGAAGTAATAATAAACAAAAAAACCACTTTGCACGAGTATTTGTCATAATTTCAGAGGCGAAGTTTTCTTGCATTTTGTATGTTTCTTTGTTGTGCTTTAGAATTGTAAAGTACTCTGAACTTACGGAGTTAATCTGAATGCAAATGCTTAGATGCATAGATGCCACCTTCAAAGCAACATGCATATTGGTTAGCACACTCTTGTCTTTGGCCTATTTCAGTTCCACTTTTTTAATTTTATATTACTTTTTTCCCCCAATGGTCACTTGTAACAGTGGACAAAGTAGAAGTCCTGAAGGGTAGTAATCTACTTCATCACTGGGTTCAGTTTCAGAGTCAGGACAGAGCTGAGCTGTTCCTCTAGCTCTTTCCTCTGAGCCAAAGGAAGCATATCACATAGGCAGCAGAACGAGAGAAACTGTAGGGAGTAAGGCAAGATCCTGGGTGACAGATCTCTCATATCTCCATCAAGGTCATCTGTCTTACTTCTCACAAAAACAGTGGTGGTTGATTGAAAGTCTGTTAGCATCTTCCAGCATCTACTTCTCTAGAGGAAAATACTCTTTATGTCACAAGGCCTTATCTTATGTCTCTTTTTTAAGCCCCTTAAGATATCCAGGCGTAGAAATACAAAATTTACTAATTTCATAGCATCTCTGTGTGGAATGAGGAGGGGGCGCCATTTTATTTTTTTGCCTCAGGCACCAAAATGCCAACCCTGATTAAGGAGCAAGTCTGAACCCAGTGGGAATTATTTTATGTAAATATGCATAAGCTTCGCTTGGATCTAATTGTCATGATAGTATGGGAAATATGTTGATTGGTAAGCTTGTGGCAAATCTCAGTTCAGATTTCATTTTGTCTGAAAGGGGAAAAAAGCAAGTAGATATGTCTTTTTCAAGACAAATAATGTTTGCTTTTTCGTTTTTACTGATGGTTGTGAAGCCCAGCTCCTCTTAAATATAGTAGGTATTTCTTTTCATAATAGTAGGTATTATGTTTTCATAATAAGGAAAGGCATGAGATGTATAATGTTAGGGAGTCTGAAATCCCACTTACACCGCCTAGCCATGTTTAACCATGGTTTAATAAATAAACCATAATTGGTCCACAAATCTCATTGAGCCTAAAGCAAACTAATCACTTCATACACAGTGGTCCCAGCAGCGCTGAGAGGAAGAGAGACAACACTGCAATGTATCTGCCAGGGTCTCCATAATTTCTCTTTTTTTTCCTATCCAGAAATGGATTTGAGGCTTAATGGTACAGGCTACAGATGTTCCGGGTGGCTGGAGGTGCTTCATGCAGCCACATGGAAGAGGATTGATAGCAGAAATTTTACACAGCAGAATGCAGAACTTGCCTGTAGACAACTTGGTTGCTACTTACCCTTCGGGATCTTGCAACCATATGTTGAAGAATCGGAGAAGCACGAGACTTGCTTGATGACCTGCCAAGGGAATGAGACGGCTCTCAAGGACTGCATAGCCTGTGATTCCCATGATTACTTCTCTCTGGGTGTGTTCCTAGTTTGTCAAGGTAGGTGCAACCAACCCCCTTCCTATTTGTACGCTCTCTTTGAACAAAGTCTGGGTCATATGGGGACAGCCTCTGAGAAACTGATGTTGTGATTTAGTTGAATTGGAAACCAGTCATAGAAGACCGAACATGGATCTTACCTACTGTCTTAGGAATTCAGTGCAAGAATCTCAACCAGTCACTCTGCCTAGCTTCAGGAAGGTTACTGCATTATGTGCCTTGGCCCAGAGACTGTGAGCACTTCCACACTGGCACTGCTTCCCTTCCCTGATCCTTCAAAAGCATTTGGAAGAGGATCTGAGATTTTTTTTTTTTTGCAGCTTCCCAACATGAGAGCACTGGGGGTAGGAAGTAAACAAATCACAACCTCATAATGTGTTGCCTCAGGTCTTGCGGCCATAAAAATTCTCATGATTCCACTTAGCACAGAAAGGATAGAAAGAAAAAAGACATTAAGTATGGGTAATTTTCAGCACTATGCACCCAGCAGACTCCCTATACCGAGATCAGAGTAAGCACAGACACCGCTCAGTTCAGTTGGCACATAATATACTTTGACATTTATTTTTTTAAAATTCAGCATCCTTCAAAAGCAGTTAACTGGCAATACACAGTAAAAGGAAAGCAGAGAGAATGAAATATGATCAAGAAATAAAAAGGACTTAATGTCAACAATCTACATTAACATATATGTATACATCAAAAGGGCACAGAGCTTCCCAGAGCAATGGAAACGATACAGTGGGCAATTAGCATGGTACTAAATTAGTAGCATGTTACTATTAGTATTAGTACTAAAAACAGTATTTGGTTACTCTAGATGTCAGCTTTCCTATATACACACACAGCCAAAGAATAGAGATGGAAAATAGCACATCAGCTGGTCCTTCTTCTAGGGGTAATGCATATTAGGGATATTAGGGACCCAGATGTCTCTTGAGGGTTCTTCTTACTTGTATCCTTGCTTACTTGCCTGGACTATTGAAACAGAGGAACAAAACTGTCAAACAGGCTTTCCTCTGAGATACCTCCTGGCCCCCAGTTGAGTCTGAAGTAAGTTGGGTCAGCTACCAAAAGGAAATGAAGGCACAGGATGCAGAGCTAATTTAGATGTGGCATGAAAATCTCATGCAGATGTATCTTATGTAGGTACCCTTGAACATTTCCCAAAGAAAGGCTGAATAAATATATATATATACAGTAATAATCTTTTCATAAAAGAGAAAAATAAGAATGGATATAGGTTAATAAATCTTAATTTGTTTTTAAAAAGTTGAAGTCTAGCTAAGGCATAATGAAAGGGACAAAGTAAATAACTGAATTAATGTTTAACTTGCTAGCAAATTGTGAAGCCAAGATCATAGCTGAGTACTAAAGAACAAGTTGAGGTGCTACAGTAACTTTATCTCTTGTTTTATTAATCTAGGTGAAATGTTAATATAGATTGCTTGTCCACGTATGATACGCCATAGGCTAAATAAAATAAATTTATCTCTTGGATTGAAATCTTTCTTTCTAAAATACTTTGGATTATCTTTATCATTTCAGCTCCTGTGCAAACCACCACAGTACTCCAGCCTACAACAGCACCAGTGGTGACCTCCTCAAAACCCTTTGGTAGGAAAACCCAAATATTTGCTGATGGTGATAGTGACTTAAGTTTATATACTACCTGACTTCCAATAACTTTGAGTAGTTATTTTTAGATCATTCACAAGAACATGAAGGCAGCAGAACTTTCCCCGTTGTCCCCACCCTTAAAACATTTCAGAAAAAAAATATATTCTTCAATTAAGGTATCTGATTGTCCCTACCTTTGTCAATTTTTCTCAAGGCTATAAACCAAAACTGCCTTGTGACAATGTTTCCTAATGCTGATAGAGTTAATATCTAAAACAGCTGGAGGGTATTAGCTGTCTACACTTCATGTATCGTATCTAAAGTATTCATAAGGAAGTATTTATGGTTTTCATTGGAAAAGTTAAAATATGAACACAAAGCCTTAAATTTGATTCTTGTACTGTCAAGCATACTACTGCTACATTAATTGATCAGTGCCTTGTATTACCTTTCCCAGATCACCCAAGGACAAACATTGAAGAAGGAACCTCCTTGTGTTCAGGGATTTTGGAGCCAGATGTTGAAGGCTACAAGAAAATGCTTTGCCTGAGTTTACAAAGATGGTGGAATAAGCTGGTCTGCCAGGGAGTAAACTGTGAAAATCCAGGACACAAGGATCAGAACAGGGAAAAGTCACTGCACCACTGGGAGAAGCTGCAGTGTGAAAAAAGGAATCTTAGCATGGGTGACTGCTCAGGAAGCACACAAGAATGCTTAAGCCTAACCCTGGTTAGATGTTCAGGTGAGCAAACCTTACTAGGAGAGCACCCTCAATCCCTGCGCTGCTTTTCATTTGTGCTCATCATTTAAATTACACAAAATTGGTCTTTCAGTGCAATTATGGGAGGGCAATTTTGTACAAAAATTGGTTGAGTAATGCACTAGAATTCTGGAACAGTACCAGCTTGTGGAGGAATTGTTATATTTTCTAATTTCCACCCTCCATGTTTTAAAAAAGAACTTCCCTGTACTATTATTCCAAGAGAGGAATTTTATTCCTGAAATGCTGGATCTACTACATTCTAAAAATATGGGTCTACCTCTTCCCATAGTACAAACAGTAACATCCAGAACTCTGCAAGCTCACTGTAGCCCCTGATATTATGAAGGTTAGCTCTTCGTTTCTTGAACAATCTGAAAGGGAGGTTTGATAAGAAAACTGTTAACTTAGTATTCTGAACATGGATGTTCAGAGGTAACCTAATGAGTGACAGATGGCATGTGGTAGCTAGTATCTAAATGATATTTATAGTGGAATCATTGCAGTGCAGGAATGATTCCTGTACAGTCAGACTGAACGCTGGAAAGAAAAAAAAATTGCAGTTATGCAAAAAGGAGACAGGGGGTGGGAATCATTCTGGTGCTGAAATATTGAATGAGGGCATAAAAGCAATAGTATTTCTCTGAAAATGAGCTTGTTGCTATTGAAGATACAGAGCTCTTTCAGAACTAGCTGCAGCCCCAGTATCCATGTGAAATGACTTATCATCCAGTATCATGATGCATCTTAAAAGGGGCTTGTAATTATAAGCAATTTCAGTATGTCAGTGACGCATTGTATTTGTGGGCAAGGAAATGTTTCATGGCAGGAAATGTAACTTCTGCAGGGGCTATGTATTGCACTCTCTGCTGAAATCCTATAATCCTTTTGAAAGAGACTTGATCCATGTTGGTTCATCTTATGTCATCCTTTTGGGAAACCTGTCGCAACAGAACTGCCAGTATGCCAGCATTGGGAATTTAAAGGACGGGGTGGGGGGGCATCCTGGGGGATGGCCATCCTGTTCTTGGCCATCCTGAAAAGACTGTGAAAATTAGTGATTGGTAGATGATTCTTTCCAAGCTTTAGACTCACAAACCTATAGATACAATTTTTCCCCCCATAACATCTTGAAAACTAAATAGAACTGCAAATAATCCAGAGGACCTGATCAAGTCTTCAGCACATTTTCAACTTAAGTTGAGAAGTGGAAAACCTAGCTGACAGGACAAGTCCATAATCTATAGGATTTTCTGTTTCTCCAGATCAAGAGTTGAAGCCCCAGAAATCCAGTTCAGAGACTGTCTTAGGAATCCTGCTTGGTCTTGTTCTTATTGCTGTTCTTCTGAGTATTTGTGCTCTTCCTACCTACAAAAAAATTATGAAAAAATGTAAGTAAGATTGTATTGCTAATATAAAGAGATTGTCAGAGTCTGTTTTGCATGGAAATCCAGAAAAAAAGCATGATGACATGCTTTTTTCCCCGAGACTGGTAGTTCAAGCTGAAGAAACTAGTTTAAGAGATCCATTGATTGCACCAGGAATTTTCTGGGTCTCACCTTTCATTCCTGGACTACTGTATGCTATATTGCACTCTCTTCTCAAATGTATGCACACATACCCCTTTCCTTTTTAGGTACCCTGATGGCACCAATGTGCATGGTATATTTTTGTCGGTATGCCTTCATTTAAATTTTTACCTTCTGCCATCTAGAAATGTCTTGAAAATAAACCGCATTAATATCAAAGATGTTAATCCCTGCATCAGATTCCCTCCAAGTTTAGATGCACTCTCAATAAAAGAAAATATATGTAGCTCAGGACTGAACTGTGAACTCTCTGAGCTTGGTGGTTTGCTTGCAGACATTTCATTACCCCACTGGATAACATAATTAATTTTTTGTGGGGGTGATGTTATCTAGATGGGTAATGAAACATCTATAAGCAAATAATGAAGTTTGGAGAGCAAAAAAGACTTCATGAATGGATACTGCTGGGCTCATTTTGTCCCTGTTTATGGTTTCAATCTCCCCTGTTTCTCACCAGGTCATAAAAATATGATGACTATACCGATGTTTCCTAGCAGTACCTGGCATTAATTAATAGTTCTTCTATTATGGAATTATAGTTATTTTCAACACTGCTGGAAGGATACTATGCATGTTCTAATCCTTCTGTGAACCTTAACAGCCTGAGTATGCAACCTGCATTTGAAATCCTTTCTATTCATCACAGTTTTTGGATGTAGTTAATAACAATGAATGGGAACGTTCTTCATGCTTTTTATTAGCATGCAAACATATAGCTCTACTAAAAGCATAAACAGGATCTTTCTGATTACAGCCATTGATCACTTCAAAATATCAGTGACTCCTTAATATATTGCATTACAACATTTCACTTCAGTGTATTTTACTATTATTTTAATTATGTCTGGGTTGGAAGTGATTACTGCTGTTTAAAAGATAATTTTAAAGGCCATCCAGAGGAGGTTTAAAAGTTTCCTGCAGCAATGAGTCTAGTGAATTTATGCTGAACAGTGATAGTCAGCTGCTTAATAAGTCATTACTGAGGTCAAAAGCAAGTCTATCTAAAAAGATATAAAAAGATAGATTAGGATAACTGTACTGGCAATGAGTCTATTACTTTACCATCTTTTTCTTTTTTTAAAAAAAAAAACCAGAGTTCCTGCATACCCGGGAATGGAAAGCATGTAGTTTGATTATGTTATGTAACCATTTTCCATCCTCCTCAACTTGAATGATCAAGTCATGCAAACTCATCCATAAATTCCTTGTCCACAATTGGCTCCACCAAGTCAAAGGTGCTCCTATGAACCTGTTTCTGTAGGTATCCAATGCCACTTCATGCACAGTGCCTGCTTTACACACTAAAAGCTTATGGTTATTAACTAATAAGGATTATGCTCATGGAACTTGGGGGAAGAGTATTTATGCCCTACCTGGTTATTTCATCAATCCCATTTCCCTTCTTTCTCTGCAGATTCCAAGAAGAGACAGCAACAATGGATTGGCCCAAGTGGGGTGAACCAAAATGGTAAGAAATCACCTGCAAAGCAGGGAACAAGAATCCACAGACTAATTTCTCCTGTAAGTCAAAGGGAATAGGCATTTGCATGTCTCATAATATATACAGGGACACTGAATATACACTTTTACTAATGCAGGTTTTATGTTCTCATTATAAATGGATATAAGTGCTCAGGTTGGTGATGTGGACCATACCATCCTAGCAAGATTTGAGCTCAGAAAAGTAAGAGCTATACCTACCTTTCGATCAACACACTTGGGAGGGGGTTATAAGAATAACCACTGCTTACTTTGGGCTGCTGGGACTTTTAATCCATCTGGCAAGCAGAATAAAGAGCAAAATACTTGCCCTCTATCCCAAAACATGCCCATCTATTTTCCCTCATCTGGGAAAATAGATGGGCAGCCTTACAGTATCTCCACCTGCATCATTAAATGTAAAGCACAATCCTGTTGGATGATGGGGCAAACTCACCCCAACCAAATCATGCAGTCTTTATGGGTATAACTTTATCTTCCATACACCTGAATAAATCAAGATGGAAGAGAAGAGATCAGATCTTCACATTTGTCAGACTCATAAGACATTGACTGATATCTGTGAGTTACAGGCTGCTTAAAGAGACTGTCATCCTGTAATTCTAGCCTCTATGGGAAGAGTGATAATTCTCTTCTAAATGTACTCTTAAATAGCACTCTGTTATTTATGACTGGGCCATATATTTTACAACTAAAGTTGACATTTCAAAACACATCTGCTGAGTCCTGGTCAAAATTTTGCTCCCAAAGCATTTGCTTTCAAGTTCCTCACAAGAGGAATAAAAGCAGCTGTCCCTTTTAAAGTCTCACTGTCTTTGCAGGGGATGCAACATTATTGAACTAGAAACATATGGCAGAGAGGAACTGCAAAAGAATTCCAGGCAAGATTAATGTCATTTGTTTCCTGGCAGACATGAGGATTCTAATATAAATGCCACAAATGCCTCTTCTGATTATGGACAGAGATCTAGTGTCATAATCACAATTTCAATGAAACCTGTGGGTAGAATAATAAATGTGTAGGTGGTTCCCAAAAACATGGTTTGGCTCCCTCTAGAGGCGAGAAGTAGGTTGACAGCCCCATAAAGACTGCAGTGCAGACCTTCTGCTTTTGCTGATATCCAGCCAAGAAACCCTTTGAAGAACCAGACTGGACATAATGTTAAATATGTGACTGTAATCCTGATCTTTAATTTTGGAATACTGAGTAGCAACAATGAAAAGCCTTAATCAGGATGTGTGCACACTTATTTGAAACCTCTTTCTCCCAGTCCCAGGACATAGGATTCAAAACATTCTCTTCTTCCATACCACTGAGGGTGCTTTTGATCCTGGGATGGAAGTGCAAGTTACTTCCGTTTTAAAAAGAAGAGGGATATGTGTACATTTTTACAATGAAAGATGTGTGCACAGAATTGGGGGTGCTGTTGAGGGTGATTTCAAAGGCTGAGCCAGAAAAGCATGTGTTTTGTTGAACTAGAACTGTTTAAGAATATGGTGGTTGGCATTAGCATGTAGCAATAGCAATACCACATAGACTTATATACCGCTTCACAGTGCTTTACAGCCCTCTTTAAGCGGTTTTACAGAGTCAGCATATTGTCCCCAACAATCTGGGTCCTCATTTTACCAACCTCGGAAGGCTGGAAGGCTGAGTCAACCTTGAGCCTGGTGAGATTCAATCTGCCAAACTGCTGGCAGCCGCCATTCAGCAGAAGTAGCCTTCAGTACTGCACTCTAACCACTGCCTTACCATGGTTCGTAATACACTGGATGTATATGAGTATGGACATTATTTTTCAATAAACTCTTTTGAATGTGGCAGCTCCCGGATATACTCTGTTTTTAAAAGGTGTCATAAAGAGCACCGCTCTATCAGAGCTTTTCCCTACAAACTATCATTTTAATTTCAACTAGTCACAAAGTCAGGAAACGTGTATCCTTGCATGAATGAAGAATCGGAGCTAAGAAACAAAATGAGTGGGATTCAATATATAGAAAATAAGGCCACATTGTGTTTTTCTTTAGTTTCATTCCATCGCAAGAGCTCTACTGCCCTCCAGACACGTCTTGAAAACCTAGTTGTTCAGGAAGAGGGGAATAAAGCCTCCCAGAAAATTTATCTCTCACCCTATGCAGGTAACACTTTCTTGCTTAAACTAAAAGTGTTTGTCACCTCTTAAAAAATATGTACCATTGGTCCAAAGTTGTTGAGCCGGGGCATCTTAAGTCTCACAACAGATCAGATGGACACTTCTAATAAATAGGATGATAATGTCATCCCAGTTCAATTCCTTTCTTTCCCCATATATTGGAGCTGTGCCAGCCAAAACATTGATCTCAACCAGGGGTCACAAACCTTTCAGACCTCAGGGACCACTAAATTCATAATTTTAAATCCCGTGGACCACTAATATGATCTGCTTAATGACTGGCTGGGTGGGCGTGGCTAGGTGGTCATGTGACTGAGTAGGCATGGCCAACTTGATGTCACTCACATCGAGGGGCGCCTCGCTGGCCTCTACTCACCCCACCCCTCCCACCAACTCCTCTCTTGCCCACCCGGGCTCCTTAGGGCTCCGACAGGAAGCAGTTGTTGGAACTAGGCAGCCATCATGAGAAAGAGTTGACAAAACAGCTCAGTTCAAATTAGATCTGACCAAGAAGGAGGCTCAGCAGAAGCACCTCACTGAGGACTACGAGCATAGGCTTTCCAAACAGAGGGAAGTCCTGTGGGAGTGCAAGGCCAAGTACCGGGACCTGGAGGCTCAGCGGTCTGAGATGGTCAGCCAGTTCCAGGCCATAATGCAGTCCCAGTGGAACAAGGCCCTCCAGCTCTTCGCCACCAGCGGCACTTCCCTCCAGCCTTCGCCCAAAGTCCTGCACCAGGAGGCCGAAGCAGACCCCAAATAGGAATTTCTGTCCCCCTCCGACCCACAGAAAGAGACCCCTGAAGGGGGAGACTCTCTGCAGCAACACAAACATTCATTGTATGTATCTGTCCCAGGGGCCGTAGTCTGAGGACCTCTGATTTAGTGCAATGTAAAAAATGCAAATAATTTTTCTGCGGACCACCAAAATTTTCTTGCGGACCACCAGTGGTCCACGGACCACCGGTTGGTGACCGCTGATCTAAACAAACAGAGCATCATGACCCATGATAATGGCTATGAATATATGTTATTTTTATCTCCACTGTGGGCAAATGATTCATAAGCTACATTCAGGTACTGCATATCAGATCAGGGCACTACAACATGTACATTTTGCTGTGTCTTCAGTGTCATTTTTTTCTGTGTTTTCAGCAATATCCTAATGGAGGGCCAGTTTCTCAATAATCTATATTTAGTGATGGATCCAGATGAAGTAAACTGATCAATTCTCATTATGCCAGTACAAATCTTCTGTTTGTGATTATTCTTTGTGAACAAATTATGAATGGTATAGTTTTCCATTTTTGCACAAAATCAAAAATTGCACTGATGCTAATATTGGCCTGTGCCATATTTAAAATCTTGTTCTGATTCTTACAAGTAATCACAGTGGCAGAGATAAGAGAAGGCAAATGTTTTATATAACCCATAAGGCCATTAGAACTGTAATTTTGGTTACTATTTGTGATGCTATGAAAGAACAGATTAGATAGGAGAGAGAGAGAGAAAGTAGATGATGATGATGATGGAGAGAGAGAGAGAGAAAATTTAGCAATCACAATTCGATCAGCAATTAGGTCTTTAAATGAAGCAGTCACTAAGTAAAACTGCAACTGTGTTTCACAATTTATTTTAGTTTTCTTTGCTTTATAGACCAACAAAGATAATAAATGTCAGGACTGGTTCCAAAGTCAGTTTTTCATCGTAACTGCACATGTCACAGTACAAGGAAGTCACTAAACAAGGACTACCTGTGCATAGTGAATGTAAAGTTAAACCTATGGGATAATATTAATAAACCAGTACCTGGCTAATATTTGGATAGATTGCCCCCTGGAAAATCCAGGGCTATAAATCAGATTAGGAAAAGCATTCTGAAAAAAGGCAATGGTGATCCTTTTTGGTACCATACTAAGCAAATGACAAAGATTTGAGTCACCAGGCATCAGATTGTACTTGGAGACAACTTTACATGGCAAAGATAAACCAATGGCTTGTGTTGAAGCAAAATCCTCCGAGTGCATCTCTTTCTATAACTTGCCACGTGCTCCACCTAGCGTCCATAAATAATATCTTTCTTCGTGGTTTATTTTTTCTTATATTATGCACAGCCCTCCTTAGTTCTAGGTTGCTTCTCTCCTTGGTTAGTTTCCATCCATTGCTTCTTGTCTTGCCTTTGGTACTTTGGAAAACAGGTTGACACCCTCTTCTTTGTGGTAGCCCCTCAAATATTGGAACACTGCTATCATATCACCCCAGTCTTTTTTTTTTTCATTAGACTAGGCATACCCAATTCATGTAACTATTCTTCATACATTTTAGCCTCCAATCCCCTAATCATCTTTGTTGCTCTAACCATTTTTGTAGCTTTAAGGAAAATCATTTCGATGCAAATATCTCAGTCATATAGGAAGGGGTAACCTATTGGCACCAATTGGTGTTCCATGCCAATGTGATTCCATGCTGAGGGTTGTTTGTTTTTTTCTCCTCCATGTTCCAGCTCTGGAAGGGGCAACCAACAGATCTTCCAGCCCTTTGGATAACTCCTCTGACAGTGATTATGACTTATGTTCCGCACAGCAGCTGTAAACTCTGTGAAGTATGGATGACACTCCTTTCTGTTCACCTGCAATATGGTGCTTAAGGCGGCATTGAAGTGATCCTGACTCCATCCTCAGCTCACTGAATGACTTCAGGCCGGTCACTCTCTCTCTCAGGCTTAAACAACTTCATGGAGTGATTGTGAGGAAAAATTGAGGGGAATCCAATATGTAATGGTTTAAGCTTCTGAACAAAAGACCCAATACAAATCTAATAATGGAATATCCTTTGAATGAATAGTAAATTCCAGGGGCATAATCACTGTAATAAATTTAAAACCATTTTTTTTGAAAGGAAGGAAATTGATATTTGTAATATAGATCTTGGATAGATGAGATTTTCCCTTAGTTTATGAGTGGATTCTTTATCAACAAAATGAAAAGATGGATCAATAATTTTCCCTAGGGTCAAAGTTTAAGACTTTGCTTAAAAAATGATTTGACTTTTTCTCTTTTTCCTTTCCTTTTTTTTTTTTTTTTGTACTAAAATTCTAAAAATTATATTTGGAACGTGGAAGACAAAACTTGCCATCTGAAAACAAATCATTTCTTTAATTATATTAATTATAGTACACTTCAAAGTAATTCATGGAGTTTATGTTCTCCTTTGCAGGTACAGAAAGTTCAGTAAAAATAAAAACATTTTAGGGGAGGAAGAATTTTATTGTCTAACACAAAATGCACTTGCTCTGGACTGGAACATGTACATTTTCTCTACCTCCACAGTGATAGCAAAACCAGTACACCAACTTACCCATACACTGAGCATTAGCATGTTTTTCCTAGCCAGTTATATTGAATGTCAACTCCTACAAGTATCAGCCATCAAAGATACACTGATAGAGATAGAAATCTCCCAATTTCAGTCACTGAAAACCAATTTGGATTATAGACCACTGTAGGATTAACATCCTCCTACCTGACCACCCAAAATAAGGCTAGGCAATCTCTGGCAAGCCAAATAAGGAAGATTTATATGTCCATTAAAATTTCAAGAAGATACAGTATATATGAAGAAGCCATATGTACACAAATCTGGATATGCGGTTTATCACCTTACTGAGGTACTGAATTAGAGTAAGTCAGAAGAGCTAATATTATTCAGCATACGTTTCTCGGCCCAGAGAATTTAAATCAATGTTTCCTTTTTAGGGTGTACAGTATCTACATATGCTATAAGATTATAAGTCTATGTGTTATAAATACGTTGCAATTAAATAAATATTGAAGCTAATTGGTGAGAGTTTTATTAATTGTTAAATCTATTGAACTGTCTTCAAGCAACACTACTTTAATTTAAATTGTGTGGGGAGGGGAACTATGCAATCAACATTCACGTAGCACAGATGACATCCATTCTTTATTTGATTATTGACATTAGTGACTGCAAAAAGTTGGCCCATAGGTCCAATTTTCACATCTGGTTCACAACTGATTTCTCATATGGATTAATGCTGTGTTGTTCACTTGTTTAAATTGCTGTACATTTCAGAGATACCATGTTAATTATCTTGCTCACTGTCTTTGGAGAAAGGGAGGTAGCCTCTCAACCATTTAATATGTATTTTGGTGGGTCAGATGATTGTATCAAACATTTTCAACCAATTCTATAATTAGTTCTACGTTTGGAAGGGAAAGGTTTTTTAATGATACAGAAGCTCATTCTTTGTGTGGTAGTTAATAAATGGCCTACAAGTTTTTGCTTTCTTGAGCTGCGGTTCACTTTATCATCTGAAATAACCATATGTACAAATGCAGATATGTACTTTTTCTTCTGATGGATTGCAGCTTACAAAATCTTCTATCTTTTAATAAAATGTGTTACCAATAAAAGAGAATTTTTTGAAGCATGGGGTTGAACTGTGGGGTCCTTGTTGCTCTCTGAGCTTTGTGGTTGACTTATAGATGTTTCATCACCAAACTAGGTAATATAATAGCAAAGATGAAAAAGAAAAAGAATTAAAACACATCAAGGAAGCCCTCAGAGTGTGTAGCTATCCCAAGTGGGCCTTCATCAAATCTCAAAAAAGACCCTACAGGAGCTCCTCCATAACAGACAATGAAGAGAAAAATAAATAAAGCAACCTTGTCATTCCATATGTTGCAGGAATATTGGAAAAGCTCAGGAGACTCTTTAGCTAACACAACTTACATGCACATTTCAAACCCAAGAATTCACTAAGGCAGAAGCTTGTCCACCCAAGGATAAAACACCCAGACACAAACTGAGCAACATGGTATATGCAGTACAATGCAGTGAGCTATATGCATATCTGTACATTGGGGAAATAAAACAACCACTTCATAAACACATGGCACAATATAGGAGAACAAACCCATCAGGACAAGATTCAGCAGTCCATCTGCATTTAAAAGACAAAAGCCACTCTTTTGAAGACAGCAACGTCCACATTTTGGATAGAGGACTGCTGATTTGAAAGAGGGGTCAAAGAGACCATCTATGTCAAAATTGAACAGCCCTCTCTCAACAGAAGAGAAGGGATATGACAACATCTATCTTGAGTGCACAACACAGTCCTTTCAACAGTTCCAAGAAGGCTCCACACCCAATTGCACTACTCAGGTGATCCTGAAAACACAGATAAACTTCCAGGTGGCCTCAACGACTCTGTAAAAAGAATGCAAATGACCAGCTGTCTACAAGGAATATAAATCTTTCCTTTCTTCACCATCCAGTCAGAGCTGAAGAAGCTTCTTGGATAAGAAGTGAAACATTTTCAAAGAAAAACCAGAAAGTCCAGTTGCCTCTTGAAAAAGTACCTTTGGGACAACCATGACCTGGATGACTGAGAATCTCCATAGACAGTTAAATGCGTTAGCACTTGCCTATTAAAGAGTGGCACTATCTCTGCCACAGTGCCTGAAATCTGTGTGGTTCTACCCCATTGGCACCCTTTTAAAAGTCTAGAAGACTTTTAAAACCTGTGTCAGACCTGCCTCAGGTTGAACCTCTAAATAAGAATGATCCTTAATCCTCCTCATTTATTGAGAAAGGTATAGTTTACTGGAAGTCAAATGAATTACAGTAATGAATAGCAAGAACTGAAAATCCTGTGCCAAAAATCCCCAAGTCTAATTTTTCCCTCCCTTAGTTGCCTCCCATCATCGGGCTCCCATGTCCAATCAAATTTAAACAAGATGTTTTTAGAATAATCACTTCAGGCCTAGGTTTGGTATGCAGCTGCATTCCATTCCCAGCCAATCAGTGGTGGGATTCAGCCAGTTCGCACCCCTTTGGGAAAACCGGTTGTTAACTTTCTGAGCAGTTTGGCAAACTGGTTGTTGGAAGAAATCATTAGGGCAGAGAACCGGTTGTTAAATTACTTGAATCCCACCATTGCAGCTGATTGTCCTCGAAGCCCATCTTGGAGAGGTACAGTGAAGTTTCATTTCCCTTGAAGCATATCCTCTCGCATCCTGCTCCCCCCCCCACACCCAAGAGTTCATGGTAGCTGATACCAATCATTATGAAGTGCAAGCTTGGGGTGGCAACTAACAACCTGGCTGTTCTACCAAGCCTTGAATTAGGGTAAATATATATCCCTTGTGGCCTGCATTAAGATTAAATATCTGGCTACTTATCTTGTAGAGTGTTATTTTTAAAGTCTGTTTTGCTATATTGTGAGCCATCCAGAGTGGTGTGGAAATTCAGGTGGTGGCTAAATCGATTAAGTAATCATTATCAGCTTTAGTGGAAAAGATAATTGTGTTTCTGCTCAATAAGGTTTGCTTAATATAGCTAATAATGATACAATACTTAAATTCCCAGGAAATAATAATAAAAATTAAAGTAATTCAAAGTAAAAATCCCTGGTTAAACTGGAACTGAAGAAGCTTCTTGGATAAGAAGCAAAACATCTTCAAAGAAAAACAAGCAAGTCCAGTTGCAGCTTGAAAAAGGACCTTTGGGACCCCAAACAAAGCATTTTGCAAAGGTAAACCCATGTAGTCTCTATTATAATAATCTAAACTATCACGTAACTAAAATGTGAAATGGTATTTCCTCAAAGTAATGGAAATAAAATGGCCTTCTCTGGAAGTGTAATGAAATTATTTCTGTAATCCTAGCTCCTCTAGAAAAATACTGTAAAGAAACAACAAAATCTAGGGATTTTTGGACTTCACTGTATTTCCCCCACTCCCTCTGCAAAAAGAGGAAAAAATATACAAACACATATAAATGACAAATTGATATATTTATGATGCACTCCGTAAAGAACCCAAAGAAAGGTTCAGTATATCATCATAATTAAAAATGCCTTCATAGGTGATATAGGACTCACATATTTTGTTTATTGCAGATTTACGAGGGTACAAATTCTAGCCCATAAATAACTAAATGACAAGATATACTACACCCAGACTTTTGATGATATTGCAAAATCTTCTGATAGTTTGATCAACCAATTAGTTAAGAGCGTACATTTTTTACTAGGGAAGAAAACATTAAACTTGGAATTATACCAATTACATTGACATGAGGTAAAGTTATGGAATCTTCTTGTATTCCCAGGAAGGTCGAAATGTGGGACTCACAAATTATGATAAAAATATTGGGAAGGATATGATTGCTTAATGTGTTTATAGATATTTACGGAATGTTTGTGGTGACCTTAATAGGTGAATTAGTTGGGAGTAAGGGGAGAGGGGTGTTTGGCATGTCATCCATGTTATTTGTTGAGTAAACACCTGAATGATGCAGTCAATATTTGTTAGACTATAAGATGCCACAAGGGGCTTGGTTCTGAAAAGTAATGTACAAAAGATTAAGATGATTGTCTTTGATAGGAAAAACAGAGTGGATGACTGCCAGCTATATATACTGTAAATGGAGAAAAACTAGAGCAAGCAAATCAATTTGTGTACTTTGGTGAAATGCTTACTAAATATGGGAAAATGAAAAACATTTCGGATAAATGCTGGCAGAAAGACAGTGGCCATCAAAAGTTCTGGTGTGAGATAGTTATGTATAACAATGTGCTTCTGCCCAATTTGTTATACAGAGATGAGAGGTGGATATGTTAGGAGAATCCCAAGAACTTGGCTGCAGCTGGAATAGGATTCAGTACTTAAGTGTATACAGCAAAGGAAAATATGGTCAATACTGAGGGTTGTTGAACGAATATGGACTGAATGCAAAAGTATTATGAAATGATTTGGTTATTTGTGTGATGTGGTTACTTATGGAGAATCAATGAGAATCTAATATCAAATATACAAAGAAAAAAATGAGAGGCTGAAGAGGAAGCTGCTCGTCCGAATAAATGGATGTGAGAAAATGTAACGTAAAAAGCAAAAAGCTACTGATGAAGAGATGAATGGGAACAGTGGAACCAAAGATGGAAGGATAGAAAGATTTGGAGAAGCCTAGTGAGCAGCGTTCGTGTAAATTACTGCTTTTTCCTTTTCTATCTCCTGTCTTTATTTTTCCCCCTATTTCTTACTCCTTTCTACATTTTATATGAAGTTGCTTAGCTAGAAAGAGAGTCATGTTATGGATATATATAGGTATGAAGTTATTACACATTAGATCAACGTTGGGAAAAGCTAGAGTTAAATGATAATTTAAATTATTATTGGCTAGGCATTAATGTATACTGGAAAGAATACAAAGAGAATGGAGACAGTAACAGAATAATAAAGGAGGAAGAAATGAATCATGAAAATTAAAATTTAGAGAATAGAGATGCTTCAATGTTAAAAGAATGGAGATGAGTTAAATCTATTGGTCATTGGGGGCGATATTGTCACAAAAATCTATCTTTAAGCAAAGTAAAGGTCAGCTAGTACAAAAGGGTTATGAACATGCGAGATGAAAATGAAGAGCCTTATTGATACAATATAAATCAAAGTGAACAAAATTTCAAGTATAAATTAGCTCCAGCCTAATTTCCAAAATTCATAGCCACACGATTTTAAGCAGTTCATCAAATTTTATTACCCTAATCAATTACATATATGCAATTGTTTCCATCAAGTCTGAAAGTCAGTCAAATCTATTGTTTGTTTTTAAAAAATAAATTACAGACAAGCAAGAGGATAAAGTGCTTAGCAAAACTATTTTGTTTTCCATTACATCTCTTGCATTCTATTAATTGACAGCCAGTGTTTCTTCTTCTCAACCGAAGTGGAACAATGAGCAAAAACAAGGGAAATGCCTGTTTCCTACATTCTCTGTAAAATTAAAAGATTATTAAAGAAAAGGATCTGGATATGATGGAAGCTACAAATCCAAATTCCTGAGAAGGTTGTCACACTTAATAATGTAGGTAGGACATTACTTCATTTATTCCCCAATATAAAAAATGCATAGTGATTTGGCTTTCTATTAGTCTATAATGCTAGCCAACTGCCAAGCATTGCCAAGATCACAAGTTCCTTAGGTCAAACAAAATCAGAGCAATTATTCAAAGGGTAGCATATGGACTGAAGAAGTCATGGCAAGTCTTGCTTGATGGTATGAAATCAAGAAAGTGCAAAGTTACTTAAGTGTTACAGAAGAAAGATGAGAATCCAATCAATGGCAGATTGCAGTGTGGGATGAGAGGAGCACCTTGTGGACTCTGTGGAAGCTCTCGCCACAAATTGCAAAATGGGTGGACGGTGAGCATAACGGAGCAGACTAGTTTTGGCTTTTGGTGCTGACCTCATCCATTGTTAACGCAGTTCTATGAAGAAACATGCTCCCTTAGATTGACAAGGGTTCTCCAAAGCTTCCATATGGGAACATCCAGCAGCAAATGTTTGGTAATCTGCTGTAGCTACTAGTAGGTGAAGACTTTTTCTTTTTCTTTCTTTTCCTTTCCTTTCTTTCTTTGTGCAGTTAGCAAACATACCATTACTGTCAAGGAGGTATTTCCTAATGCCAAGAAAACCTTAGACTTCTTCTTTAGAAAGCATGTTTTACATCAGAAAGGCTTTACTGATTTCTCCATCAGATTCTTTGTAGGAATATAGGCTTATAGAACTTTTTAATATATTCTAATATACTAAATTAGAAAACTACACACACACACACACACGCATACACACGTCCCTACACAAAACCAGATCCAGGTTGCTGTCAATTAAGTCTTCCTTAAAGAGCTTAGCAAGCACAGTGCCCTGATAAGAGCTCTGGGTCTTTGTATGTATTTTATACTATGGCTTGAACTGAATGTTTGGTCAATACTGATTCCATTAAGGCTGCCTACCATCACTAAACTTACAAGCAGAACCACCAAACGGCGGCCTTCCTTTGCAGCTCTTAACAGTATTATTCCATCATTTATTCCATCAGTGTAATGCTTATGTATAGTATGTTTCTCAGGATGACCCTCCCATATTTTCATCTTGGGGCTCATTAGCTAGCAAGACATCATTTCATCAGCTACCATGTAAAATACTGCCTGGAAAGCTGGTCTAATATCCAGACCAAGTATGGCCCCGAGGGGGAAGAGGTGGTGGCTGATACCCAAAAGATGGACCTGGACCTGGAGGATATGGAGGCTGGGAGGGAACAGGGAAGCCAGCCACTGAAGGTTGAGTGGGATAAGGACATTGTGGCCTTCCTCCTGATGGAAAATAGGGAGGCTGCATAGACTGAGGAAATCCTGGTGCTACTGATGGAGCCCTGAGAGAAGGCTGTGGATACCCTGGCCCAGAAGACGATGTTCTGGATGGAGACCAAGAGTACCTGGATGAAGCCAGGTCACCTGTCTGAGGCTGGGGTACGGGATTACTTGGAGGAACAGATGGGTATCCAGGACCTGAGGGTGGTCTATATGGAAATGGGGGCTGGGCACTTGGTTGAGAGGAGGCAACGTGTCCCACTGTAACTGGTCCTCCTCCAAAGGGGCCTGGCTGGAGAGCCCCATAAGCTGAAGGGCCTGTTGGAACACAAGGAGATAGACCATAAGGTAAAGGAAAGGCTGGTTCCCCAACTGAACGTTTCTGTGGCTGCTGATTTATAGGTCCAGAAGATATGTGGGAAGGAGACTGGTGGTTAAATTCATTATCATTTGCTGGCTCCGGCAAGGACTGAGATTTTTGCAGCACTTCTTGAAGTTTTTCCACTTTTACACGTCGTAAATGAGATAATTTCCTCATGGTAGAAAACTGCTCAAGAAATGTCTCCAAAGGCACCTCCCCCTCCAGGAACTTTTCAGCCATCATCTGGAATGAACAAAAACAAAGATATTAAAACAATGCTTCCATCTGCATCAAAGGGAACATACAGATAACAACAACTTATTTAGTGACCATTCAAAGTTGCAAGAAGTGATACTCACAATGAGGCTTCAGTTTCAGCTGTCCCAGCATCCTCATGGCCACGTGATTATGATCTCGGTGCCTGGCAACCAGCTTGTGCTTACGAAGGTGGGAGCCTCTTATAGTCACATGTTCACTCTTTGTGGCCTTCCCTGCAGGTTCCCATAAGCAAAGCCAATGGGAAAGGTAGCAGGGAAGGTCCCAAGTTGTTTGGCTAAGTGTCTCCCAAGCTAAACGGTGTGGCATTGCTTAGCAACAGAAATGCCAGTCCCAATTATCATCAGACCCCAAGGACTACTGTATTCTAATTCTCTGACTATAAGACTTCCTTACCCAAGCTATTCAAAATCTCCTGAAAATGGTTGGATAATGCAAGGAAAAACTAATGGTTATTCTTCTCCAATAGAGAAAGTACAAGGAAGACACATGAGATCTAAGTTAAATGCATGAAGAATTTGAGTAAAAGGTGCAAGTTCTATAAATTTCCTTTCATTCCTAAATAATGTAGAGAACTTATTTCCTGCTATATTTTAGTCTATGCTCCATTCATGCTTAGGGGACTAATCTCAATTAGCCTTCCAAGCAAAACTTTGCTTAGGTGAAACAATCCCTCAAAATAGATGAAATGATGAGATGACAGATGACAGATATTAAACATGTCCTTTTGATGCCTCACTAAATTTACTTGAAAACTAGTTAGATGCTATGCACGTAGTGAAGGATCAAAAGCTGGTTTAAAAATACTGATTTATAGCAGCAAAACACCTACCAGACCTCCAGGAGGAGGAGGAAGATGAGGAAATATACTCAATTTCTTTCATCACTAGCCCAATGGAATTTTCAGATGTAACGGATATCAATTTCAAGGGTAAATAAGGGATGTATTAAAGGGCAATATAAAGCTCACAGGTATTTGCTTGAGTTGTATAATAAAGACAAAATGTGGGAAAGCTCAGCTAGACTGACTTTTAAAGTTCAATTTCTGTCAATAAAAACAATTAAAATAATTTATTCCCTCTGGAATTTAAATAACAGGCTAACCTCAGATTCTTCTTCGATTTTGAGTCCTTCCACCTTCAGAAGATTTAACAGGGTATCAGGGTTTGTTGCTGCTGAGAATTGCTCTGAGAAAAAAAAAGAGACACCTAAAAATTAAACAAAAATACATCTCTCTTCTTCTTCTTTTCATTTCAATGCAAGCACCTGGTCCTGCACATATACTGTACACCAGGGCTGTCAAACTCCTGGCCCGCAGGCAAGATGCATCACGCACTGGCCACACCCATGCCTGGTTTAGCGAAGGGGGGAAAAGTCCCAATACGTCACGTGACGCTGCCATGACGACATGAGTTTAACACCCCTGGTATACATGAAGGCTACCAGCTTCTAAAAGAATTCTGTTGCTTTAAGAGCTAGTCTCATGGAATCTGAACCCATAACCAAGAAGGAAGAAGGGAAGGTGATCAATTAAAACCAAAACGCTAGTACAAGTGCAGTTTTTGACTAACCAGATGCTCATGACAGTGTAATGCTGTGGAGGCTTGACCACTGGGGGGTATCAACAAATGCATCCAGATGAGAAGATGCCAACCATACCCTGTTGCCATTCCATGTCCCAAGACCAAGATGAAGGAAATGCAAATAATAATGATAATGATGATAATACGAATACTAATAATAATAAAAAAATTAGCACCAGTCAATGGTAGTCAATGGTATTTGTGATGCATTTTTGAATGTTCAATTGACTGAGTTTCATGTTTAATGAATAAAGTAAATCATCATCATCATCATCATCATCATCATCATCATCATCATCATCTTGGCTAGAGAAAGCCTATTGGCTAATTCTATTCCACCTTTATCCCCATCAGCCTCAGCCATCTGAAAATTTACCCAGCTTTGATTTCTGCTCCTGGCATCTCTCTATCAGTTTTTGCAGATCTTGATATCTGTCGGAGAGGTTTGCGCGCCCTGTTTCCAAGGGCTCCTGGAACTTCAGGTTTTGCTCCGCGAGACTACGGTTTGTGGCCAGAGCCATCTCCCTTTGCAACTGTACATTCTGGACCTGAAAAATGAAATGTTAGGCAGATATAGCTCATTTTAAAAAATGGTTTCTCTCTTCCAATAACTTTCATGTACATGAATGATTACCTCATCCGACTCCAATGCCAACCGTTCAATCTCTTCCGAGTTTTCCTGAAGTTCTTTCAATTCATCTACAGTTTTATCTCTGAAGGTCTCCATCTTTTGGGAGAGTTCATCAATTCCTTTGGGATTAAGAGAAAAAGAAGATGGTTACTAATTTCATATCATCATCCAAGTGTATTTGGTTGCAGGACAATTTTCAGTTTAGCGAAGCCATATCAGCAGTCAAAAATTATATCAGAGGACAGCCTAATAATTACTCATCCTTTCTCATATTAATTTGAATATCCTTTTGCATATTAATATGAAGAGTAACTTTACATATAAGTGTCAGACCAATAACAGAGGGTTCTGTCCAATAAGGCTATATGCGTCTTTATTAAGTACTGTATATGTAGGTAAATATATCATACAAACTACTGCATTATCCACCTTAAAAGAGGAACCAAAACAACTGGAGATAGATGCAAGAAAGTATACTGTATTGAAACACAGGAACTATAATGATCCTTGGGCTCTTTGACAAAGCACTGCAGTAGAGCCCCAAACAGATCAATATTACAGATTATACAGTTTTGGTACATCTATAGTAGAAATGATAAAGAAAATATTGTAAATCACAGCCTGACCTTTACAGTCATAATGTAGCAACTGATAATGTCATGTGGTGAGCTTATTACGATCTGACCCAATGCTTCTAAATTCTGTACTCCTGCAAAGGCTCCAAGCCCACCACCTTCCAACATAAACAATATTTTATTTACTTATATTTTTTATCACACCTTTACTAATTTATGAGTAACATCGTCTCCATTTACACCAGGGAAAGATGACAAAGAAAGTTTCAGTTATCTGTTTTCTTCCCCTCCAGCATCATCAGATCTAGCCTCCTGCTTTTAATTAGGACTATTACAGGCCTGGTTTCATTCATAAATTAGCCTCCTTTAATTAACGGTTTAAACCTTCACAAAAGGCAAGACAGACGCAATTAAATACAATCTCTCCAGCACCTATTGCGAATAATGGGAATATTGTACAGCATTCATTGTGTGACCAAAGATGAGCAAGAAAAAAAAATATAAATCTTCCAAAAACTAAGTAACAGGAAGAAATGAAAAGACACAAAGGTGAACTAAAATATTCTAAATAATCTCTGCTTCAAGTTACTGTATGTTTTAGGAAGAATACCCAATAACTACTCAGTAATGGTTTATGCAGCTTTATAGATTGTATGGTGGCTAGACAGAAAATATAATGGCTGAAGGACAGGAAGGAGATTTTGCACAATAATCTCCATTTGAATTTTGCCATCTTAATCCACAAGCCTGTTAATTGAGCAAATAGGATCAGTTTAAGAATTTACAACATTCCTGTGCAGCAAGGAGGTTTTCGGCTTTTGGCTCAATCTAACACTACAACCTTAATGGTAAAAAGCAGAAATAAGAAAACCAGTTGTTCAGAAATATAGTATGGTAACCAGTACTTTAGCAAAACAATTAGGACAAATATATAAAATGTCCTTCATTTTCAATGTACCGTATTTTTTGGAGTATAAGACGCACCTACCTTTTTTGCTTTTGTTTTTTTAATAAAAAGTTTTTTGTTTTTTTTTAGACAAACACGCATACAAACATACAATGTATTTTCTTTGAACAGAGTATTTGGCCGGTTCACAAATTTAAAGTGTTTAGTCATTTCAATTGAATTTACAATTTCTATATTTCCTTTTTGCCATATTTATTCCTCATCTATTTTTTAAAAAAAACCAATATTACCCTTCATCCTTATCTCTAATCTTAATCAAATTCAATTTTTCCCTTCTGTTCTATATTATACCCCTTCCCATTGTCATCTATTTTTATATCCATCCTCACATTGGTTAATTATGTAATATTACAATTGTTTAATACAAATTCAACATTTTAATATAAATCAATTAGTTATATAACTATCTTTTTTTGTATATTAATCAATATGAACATGAATATTCCAATTATTTCCATGCAATCCAATTTCTTACAAATCAATTAATTATATTTACCAATAATAATAAACAAATAATTTCCCCATATATTCCTCCAAACCACAACTTAACCATTTCTGCTTTCAACACAATATACAATATCTCAATTATTACAATTCCCTAGTTAAATAGAGCTTTCTCCTTTGTTACTCATTTTCACATCTTAAACTCTCTCAATAACCCAAATAGTTTTGCTCATATAATCCTCCAAATCACAACTTAATCATTTCTACTTTCATCACAATATATAATTTAAAATATTTCAATCGTTACAATTTCCCTAATTAAATTTAAAAATGTTCTAGCTATTATCCAAGATACAATTTAATCCTTTTTACTTTCACCACTATATACCATTAAAGGTATTTCAATTGTTACAGTTTATACCTATTCATATTTCTAAAAAAAATAAAAATAAAAACTTATTGTCTAGATTTCAAAAATACAAAGACAAATATTCCAATTATTATCATTTCATTTATACAATCATGATTTCCCATTTAATTCTTACTACTATTCCTATTTCAATTCTAAATATGTATAACATCTTTCTCTTTCATTTCTTTTTCTCCCGTCCCATTTTTATTTTTGCCTTTTTCTTTCTCCTTTTCTCCTTTTGTGTTTTAAAATCTTGAACTCTCCTCTTTTGCCCTAAATTTCTCATTGTTTGTACCTACCTTTTTTGGTGAGGAAAAAGAAATCTCCCTCTGCCTCTGAGCAATTTTGCCTGGTTACAGCAAACAGCATACTGCCTGCTTTACTTTCAGTTTCATTTTCAGCATAGCTTGATTAGCACAAGGAAAAAAAAAAATCTGCTCCAGCAATTTACCTCTTTGCAGCATGCAGCAGAGCCCTGCACAAAACAGCTGAGAGCAAATCAGCTGAGAGTCAGCCCATCTGTGCTGAAGCTGAAAGGAGCTGTTCTTTCTTGCTGTTTGCTTGCAAGGAGGTAACTGCTGCGACGCACAGGCCAAAGGGTGGGGGCCAGTGGGTGGGCGGGGCTACATTTGGTGTATAAGACGCACCTAAATTTTCACCCCCTTTTAGGGGGGAAAAGGTGTGTCTTATACTCTGAAAAATATGGTAATTTTTTAAAAAAATCTTTAATTAATCTTGTCTTGTGCAGAATCCTTTTAAATCACTTGTTTTCATTTTTAGAGCAAAGAAAATTCAGTATCTTTTTTTGCTGAATTTCCCCAATTATTGCACAATTGTAAATGTACAAAGCTATTGGCATTAAATAACACTTTCCTGTTCAAAATAAATAAATCTTTATCCCCCTTTTGAAAATTATGGTTTCAAAGAACCTTCTAACAGGTAAGAGAGATTTTTGATTCATTATTATTATTCACTGACACGCAAACAAAGCTTAAGGTAAGTCAAGACAGACAATCACTCTTGATTTTTCAGCAGAAATCAGAATACGTTTTTCAACTTCTTGTTACTTTCTATTATTTTCCCCATTGATATGTTATCAGTCCTTTAGCGTCATTGCAACATCTTTCCAAACCTTATTATTATGATTTAATAATCACATAAGCAGCTTCTCTGTACAATAAAAACTACACTGAAGCAACCAATGAAGTTTCCAATTGACTTATCCTGGACAAAGTGGTCTTTTGTGATCCATTAGAGCAGGGGTGGGCAAATGTGGCCCTTTTACAACATGTGGATTTCAACTCCCAGAATTCATGAGACGGCCAAGCTGTCTCAGGAATTCTGGGAGTTGAAGTCCACGGGTTGCAAAAGGACCACATTTGCCCACCCCTTCACTAGAGCCAGACAATTTGATGTTTGCAATATGTAAACAGATTTTGCAAACAAAGCGTCTTCTTATTCTGTTTCCACAGTTTTTTAAGCAGCTTTCCTCAAGCCACATATACAGGTAGTCTTCAACTTATGACTATTCGATCAGCAACCGTTTAAAGTTATGAAGGTGCTGAATGGAGGGACTTACAGACTTGAAGTTATAGGCAACAAAGAAACCCCTCCACCCCTCCTGTCACATGACTGCAATCTGGGCACTTGGAAACCTGTCTACGTTTATGACTAGTTGCCAAGAACTCATTTGCAATCTTCCCTGCTGGCTTCTCCAGAAAGTCAACAGGGAAACCAGCAGGGAAGGTTCCAAGCTGCTGCTGCTCTTGCCAAGAGGTCTCCCTCTCATCTCTGAGACTTAGCTGAAAAAAACTTTATGCTGAAGCCTAAGCAGGATTTTGCATGGGGCATTTTCAACTACCCCCCTGAGTTGAAAGGATTCCCTCTCAATTCTGGGAGCTGGCTGAAAATATTCCATGCCAAAATTCAAGCAGAATTTTCAGCCAACGAGGATTTTCAGCTCCAGAGTGGCGAGGCTTCAAAAGATTGAAAATCCAATCAGTTTCAAGGACCTTGTGCACTCTTCTGAACTTCCCCCATCTCCTCGCTCCCTGTCCCACCCAGCAGAGCCTCCAGTTTGTGTGTGTGTGTGTGTGTGTGTGTGTGTGTATATGTGTGTGTGTGTGTGTTTTCTGAGGTTTTCGCGGGTGTTTGTATGTAGGTCTTTGGTTATTCGGGTTTTCTCCCGCATAAAACTGGAAGTGTCTTGGCGACGTTTCGACGAAGTCTCATTCGTCATCTTCAGGCTGGTGTTTTCGGCTTCATGCTCCTAGAAGCACAAAGCCGAAAACACCAGCCTGAAGATGACGAATGAGACTTCGTCGAAACGTTGCCAAGACACTTCCAGTTTTACGCGGGAGAAAACCCGAATAACCAAAGACCTACATACAAATAACCGCGAAAACGTCATATATATATGCCCCACTCCATGGTCATGTTATGGTCAGCAAATGCTCCTAGAGCATCCTAGAAGCACGAAGCTGAAAACACCAGCCTGAAGATGACGAATGAGACTTCGTCGAAACGTCGCCAAGACACTTCCAATTTTACGCGGGAGAAAACCCGAATAACCAAAGACCTACACACACACACACACACACACATACACACACACACACATATATATGTACATACATACATACATACATACAGTGGGGCAAAAAAGTATTTAGTCAGCCACCAATTGTGCAAGTTCTCCCACTTAAAAAGATGAGAGAGGCCTGTAATTGTCATCATAGGTAGACCTCAACTATGAGAGACAAAATGAGAAAACAAATCCAGACAATCACATTGTCTGATTTGGAAAGAATTTATTTGCAAATTATGGTGGAAAATAAGTATTTGGTCACCTACAAACAAGCAAGATTTCTGGCTCTCACAGACCTGTAACTTCTTTAAGAGGCTCCTCTGTCCTCCACTCATTACCTGTATTAATGGCACCTGTTTGAACTTGTTATCAGTATAAAAGACACCTGTCCACAACCTCAAACAATCACATTCCAAATTCCACTATGGTGAAGACCAAAGAGCTGTCGAAGGACACCAGAAACAAAATTGTGGTGTGAAGAAATTAACTGTGGGAGCAATAATTAGAAAATGGAAAACATACAAGACCACTGATAATCTCCCTCGATCTGGGGCTCCACGCAAGATCTCACCCCGTGGAGTCAAAATGATCACAAGAACGGTGAGCAAAAATCCCAGAACCACACAGGGGGACCTAGTGAATGACCTGCAGAGAGCTGGGACCAATGTAACAAAGGCTACCATCAGTAACACACTACGCCGCCAGGGACTCAGATCCTGCAGTGCCAGGCGTGTCCCCCTGCTTAAGCCAGTACATGTCCGGGCCCATCTGAAGTTTGCTAGAGAGCATTTGGATGATCCAGAAGAGGATTGGGAGAATATCATATGGTCAAATGAAACCAAAGTAGAACTGTTTGGTAGAAACACAACTCGTGTTTGGAGGAGAGAGAATGCTGAGTTGCATCCAAAGAACACCATACCTACTGTGAAGCATGGGGGTGGCAACATCATGCTTTGGGGCTGTTTCTCTGCAAAGGGACCAGGACGACTGATCCGTGTACAGGAAAGAATGAATGGGGCCATGTATCGTGAGATTTTGAGTGCAAACCTCCTTCCATCAGCAAGGGCATTGAAGATGAAACATGGCTGGGTCTTTCAGCATGACAATGATCCCAAACACACCGCCAGGAGGGAGATTATCAGTGGTCTTGTATGTCTTCCATTTCTCTATTTTAATTATTTCTCACAAGTTAATTTCTTCCACCACAATTTTATTTCTGGTGTCCTTTGACAGCTCTTTGGTCTTCACCATAGTGGAATTTGGAATGTGATTGTTTGAGGTTGTGGACAGGTGTCTTTTATACTGATAACAAGTTCAAACAGGTGCCATTAATACAGGTAATGAGTGGAGGACAGAGGAGCCTCTTAAAGAAGTTACAGGTCTGTGAGAGCCAGAAATCTTGCTTGTTTGTAGGTGACCAAATACTTATTTTCCACCATAATTTGCAAATAAATTCTTTCCAAATCAGACAATGTGATTGTCTGGATTTGTTTTCTCATTTTGTCTCTCATAGTTGAGGTCTACCTATGGTGACAATTACAGGACTCTCTCATCTTTTTAAGTGGGAGAACTTGCACAATTGGTGGCTGACTAAATACTTTGCCCCCCCCCTCTCTGTCTCTGTGTGTGTGTGTGTGTGTGTGTGTGTGTGTGTGTGTATGGTAGTCGTAACTTTGAGGCAGGGTCATAAGTAACTTTTTAAAAGTCTATCATAATTATGAACGGTCATTAAACAACCAGTCATACGTTGAGGAGTACTTGTATAAAAATTATTTTGGCAATCAAAATCATTGTTATGAAGCATTAATTTCAAAAGGAAATGGCATGAGGAAAGGAAGTTAACTACAGAAAGGTAAAAATCCTATTGCAGCTACAATGTCTTTTAAAATAGCAAGGAAATATAATCATGGATCACATATAGTTTAATCTCTTTTATTTGATTCAAGTATCTCAATTCTGGTTTTATATATATACATACATACATACATACATACATACATACATACTATTATATATATATATATATATATATATACCATATATAAATCAGATAGAATTCATGGGTAACAGGACATATATATTCATAATTGTCTCTTTTATATGTCCTGTTACCCATGAATTCTGTCTGGTTTACAAGAGTGAGACATCGGAGTTAAATTGAGTCAAAATGATATTAAACTTTTATTTGTATATAATATATATATATTAAATATATATATATATATATATATATATATATATATATATATATATATATATATATTTTCTTACTTCTTCGTAGGGTTTGTGTGTGTTTTTCTTCTAGCCAGGTTTTCCCTACATAACCAAGGTTTTTTTGCAGCAGCAGCTCAGTAGAATCACATCCACTCGATTCTGGGCTTTTTTCTTTTCTAACAGCTAGCAAGATAAGATATCCTGCTAGATAAGATATGGGTGTGGCCTACTGATGAAAGCAAACGAGCTAGAAATAGATCTATTTAGGTCTCCCACCTAGCAAGAAGAGCTTGCTAGCTGTTAGAAAAGAAAAAAGCCCAGAATCGAGTGGATGTGATTCTACTGAGCTGGTGCTGCAGAAAAACCTTGGTTACATAGAGAAAACCTGGCTAGAAGAAACACACAACACACACACACACACACACACACATATATATATATCTCCTCTTACTCTCTGCTACTGATTGTTCTACCTTTGGTTCAAACAAAATGTTTCATGGACTTGTTTCTGAAGAGTCACCATCAGTATCTGAAAAAAAAAGCGCCAAGTTTGTATTTGCTTTCATGGTTCCCAAAGTGAATACTATATCCTCTGGCTAAGGATATTAGTGCTCAATCCTCTGTATTGAACACTAATCTTACTCTAAGTTTATGAATAACAAAGAAAATGCTTTACATATAACTTGAAAGTGAAAGTGTGCTTCTGACAACTTGTTTGTGCACAATATAATTAATATTTCCAAGAAAATGTGTAAGACAGAAATAGTTTTTAAAGTTCTTTTTTGAATAAATATTTAGCTAACATCCCCAGATCTTCTTTATACCATTGCAGTGGGATGACAGTGTGATTAATACTTAAATATTTTAAGTATTAATCACACTGTCATCCCACTACAATGAAAAGACTCTTGGAGGCTTATGTAGAACATAAATCAGATAAAACCCTCCTGATATAAAATTCCATAAAACAATAAAAATGAATACCCATCGAACATAAAAATACAAAGAATGAAAATAGAAGTTAAAGATGATAAGATTAAATCAGGACAACACTTTCTCATATATAATGATACAAGTACAGGACTACTCCTATTTGTCAACGCCCTTGACCCCAGGAAGAAATTGTCTAATTGGAAAAGAAGAGCCTGTGAAATCATTTCCTGTGCAAAGTATATTTCAGGTGTATCAGAGGAATCCCTCTGCAAGCCAATATTATCTATTGATATGTCTGTCATCTTAAAAATTTTGAAAGTTATAGACCTGGGAATAACTTTCATGGTACACCTGAGAACAGCAAAAGGAGTCAGTTATCAATTACCAGTAGAAAAAAATGACATCTGCAAAACTTTTAACTTCCATGGAAGTTGCTCTTTATACCCCGAAAGATACGTGAAGCATACACAAATACCTCAGAATGGCGCCCACATCTGCCAAATTTGAAGTGCCCACCTGGGGTCCAACAGAGATGAAGGGCAGATAAATTTGGTGCTGCGTGAGATAAATGACAATAGAACCTATCACAAATAGTCACTCTTGCACTATAATTTTAGTGACAAATTACAACACAACAAAGCAACTGGCACACCTCTCCCAAGCTTATTAATACACTCAAAAGAACACAATCACCCACCCTTTTTAATGTGAATTAAACATTTACCCTGGAACCTGTTTGGCCACTGATACACTCTTGCCCCAACCTTGTGCCTCCCGATATGTTGCATTACAGTAATCTACTACAATCTCCATAATTCCCAGTCAGCCCGCTCAATCCTGGGACTTGCATCCGGAGGACCCCTGATTGAGATTCATTTTAAACCCGATGCTCCTACGAAGGGTCCCCCCTGACTCAGCCCTGAGGCTCCCGTCACAAGGGTGGAGCCTTCCAGAGCGGAGCGAACGCCGGCAGCCTCCCCAGCGCGCGCGGCCTTGGAGGGGAAGCATTGTTTCCCTTCCCCCCGCCCCCCGCCAGCTGATGCGCGCGCTGGGGGTGGGGGAGGGAGGGAGGGAGAGAGAGAGAGAAGGCGTCGCGCGGACACCCAGCGACCTCCACCCCCTGAGAGCGCCGTTCCAAAGAGGAGGGCGGGGCGGGAAAGGGGCTTCCTATTTTCTCGCGAGAAAGGCTTTAAGCAATTCGCCTCTCTGACCATAATGATGTACCTGGGAGAAGCCGGGAGAAGGAAGAACAGAAGAACGTACTACTATAATGCCGTCAAGTGAAGTTTCCGGGAAAAAGCCGGAAATTGCGTCCGCTCAATGGTCCGTTCAGGTTATACCATGAACGTGTGGAGGAGGGGTGGTGGTGATTCAATGGGTTTTCTTATTACCCGGAAAGGAGATGGTTTAATCCGCTGACAGAGCCAATGAACCAACGCTCTTTCAGTAGGGGAAGCCTTTGTGTCAGCCGCATTGTGGTTTAGCTACCTGAGAGAGTCGAATTAGGCAATTTGACAATTGGTCTCTGTCCCGCGGATCTCTTGTCTTAAAAATAGAGGCCTGTTAAAATGCGATTTAAAAATGTGGATTGCATGCGAGATATGTTTTGTGAAAGACAGTTCTTTTGCATTTCTTTTTTTTTTCCATTTGAGTTTTATTGGGTTTTAACAATTAAACAATTCTTATTCAACTCTTGTGCATGTCTGTGACCATTTACGTATCATCACAGTAATATTCTCCTATACTCTATATAATTTTACAAAATCTACTATCTGTTATTTCCCGTTTTTTCTATCTTCAATCCAATTACACCATTTTCCCCATATTATTAAAAGTCCGAATCCATCTGTCCTTTCAGTTCCAATGTCATTTTATCCATCTGGGCGCAATCTGATATCTTTCTAATTATTAGATCTTCGGAGGGTGTTTCGAACTTCTCTTCTTTTGCATTTCATGGACTCTGGTCTCATTGTTTATTTAGCTGCTGTAGAGTTTGCATTGCAAAACTCCGGACAATCATTGGATGGAAGCAAAGAAGGATACATTTTCTATATCTCTTTGCCACCATCCCATCCATACCCAACACAGTTTTGCATTTCAAAGTAAAAGGCAGAAAAGAAACAGGATATATTTCATACGTATGAAAGACATAAGATACCAAAAGGAAACGGCTATAACTAGTACCTCCCCAAGCCTATCCTTCCTTGTGAATCATTTCTCCGATTCATATCCTTCAAATTGTAGCTCTGATATAACTAGTTTAGTCAGAGAAACTCAATTTTGGGGAGGGTTTTTTTTTTTTAATCTATTTTGCTCATTTATGTTCTTGGATGTTTTCTTGGGTCTTACATCCTTGATCTAAATTTCCTGCAAGACCACATGATATCCTTATCAAAGAACAGGTACCATTCCTTGCAGTCATCTGGCCATTAGCACTCTCTGAGAGAATGTCTTCAAAGACCAGATGTTCAGAAAGAAATGACCAGATGCCTGCAAGAACTACAAATCCTTCCATTCTTCATTCAGTCAGAACTGAAGAAGTTTCTTGGATGAGAAGCGAAAAGTCTTCTAGCAAAAAAAGAAACTCCAGTTGCCTTCTGAAAGAAAGCTACCTTTGGGATAAAGCAGGCTATTGTATTTTCTAGCAATGTAAAAAAGAGTCCCTTTATGAACATAGCAAACAACAATTGTTTATGATAACTAGCGCTAGTATTAGACAGAAGAGGAGACATGTTTGGAAGTATAAACATTTTCAGTCACCAGAATGGCTACCACAGTAAGGCCAGCTCCCTCACCTAATCTGATATAGCATTCTTTGTATGAGGATTGTATAATAAATTCTTATAAAGATTTATAATCTATAACCCTGTAGACCTGGTAACTCTTTAACATTTGTTTGGCCAGGAACTCAGTAACCTGTAAATCTCTGCATACCAATAAACTATACTTTGTTGTAATATCTCCAAATGCTTTAGCTCTTTATTCAATAGACATATTTTCCACACAGGATTTTGTAACATGTTATTTATAGATAAAAAGTGATTCAGTCCCAGTAATTACAGCATGAAAATGCCCTATTGACATTTGGCAGAGATGGTATTCCTGGTTAGAGGGAAAGATAAATATAGGAAAATAATGTAGCCTGAATGACTAAGCAGGAGCCACAGGTAGCTAAGCAAGAAATAGATTACAATTGATTTGTGTATAACTATGTAAATAAATGAATACGTAAAATAGATATGTATAGATATGTATAGAGAAAAACAGGTGGAATAGGAAAATAACCCACCAATGCAACAAATTTATGTTCTTTTTGATGTTGGTTTGTTTTTCGTATTGTTTTATTGTATTTATGTTTGTTTGTATTTTACTGTTGTTTTTCTTTTTTAAACAATAAAAAAAATTAAAAAAAGAAAAAAGAAAAAAAAGAAAATGCCCTATTGACCTTTTAAGGGACTCATGCTCGTGATGGAGCCTTTGCCTTGTTCCCCAGTCCACATTATTTAGCATTTCTATTTTTATGATTTTTTCTGTTCTGAATCCTACAAGACTTGCTACCAGTATACATGCATTCTACAATGCCTTGTTAACAATATAGGTCATGATGTGACAGAATATTGTTTTTTGTTTTGTTTTTGTTTTTATTGAATTTGTATACCGCCCTACTCCCGAAGGACTCAGGGCGGTGAATAGCCATAAAATAAAACAATGTAAATACAAAATTTAAAATAGAATAAAACGAATTAAATAATTTGGCTGAACAAATTTAAAACCCCAATACTTTAAAACCAAATTTAAAATTTCCATTTAAAAAGGGGAAAGACTTAGGTCAGGCCAGCCTGATGAAACAAAGTCTTGAGTGCGCGACGGAAGGTACGCAGATCCGGGATCCTCCGTATCTCCGGGGGGAGCTCGTTCCAGATAGTAGGTTCCCCCACAGAGAAGGCTCTCCCCTGGGGGCCGCCAGTTGACATTGTTTGGCTGATGGCACCTGGAGGAGTTCCTCTCTATGGGAGCGTACTGGTCGGTGGGAGGCTATTGGTGGTAGCAGGCAGTCCCGTAAATAGCCAGGTCCTAAGCCATGGAGCGCTCTAAAGGTGATAACCAAAACCTTGAAGCGCACTCGGAAGACCACCGGGAGCCAGTGCAGCTCGCGCAGGAGAGGTGTTACATGGGAGCGCCATGTCGCTCCCGTCACCACCCACACGGCCGCACTCTGCGCCAGTTGGAGCCTCCGAGTGCTCCTCAAGGGGAGCCCCATGTAGAGAGCGTTACAATAGTCCATACATACATATTGAATGTATGTTCTTACTGGGGCTTTCTACCACTGCAAACCTCACAAATTGCTAAACACAGTGTTTCATATAGTATTCATTTTTGACTTGGGCTGCTGGAAAATTTAGGCCTTTGGCTTCTGCGAGTCATCTGCCTACATGATGCCTGACTGGCCTTTGCAAATCACCACTCTGGCATTATGTGAGGTCCTTATGGGAAAGAGTCTAGGATTCTTTTAGAAAACCATTAGACCAATTTTTAGCAATGTTAAGCAGTGTTTTGAAACAGCATTGCATCTGTGTTTTAAATAGTGACTTGAGCTGTCAAATGGAAGGTTTGATTAAAATGGGAAAGAGGTTGAGTTCTGTCAACAATGGATGGCTGGTTTCATCCCAACTGATTGCATATGGTTTCCACTGCTTCCACTGACAAGGCTGGCTTTCTAGTGTTTGTATTGCTACAAGAGGGAAACATTTTGGGTTCTTCCAGAACCATTTTGGATTTCTACTAGCCACAATCGCACTAATAGATTTGGAATATTTGGAAGCTGGGTAAAATTGACAAGAGTTCTGTCAATTTGCCCATCTATCCTCTGATGAGAGATAGAGTCCACTTGAAAGATAGAAGCCCAGGATAAAACAGCAGGAGAGAAGTCTCTCGGTGTGCCATGCAAGCTCCCTCTTGCTTCATTCCACATGATTCCTCTACCCAACAGTCTATCACCCAAGGCTGTTTTAGAAAAGGCACAAGTGACAGGTTTACTGTTGCAGAGCATCTTTGTGTAGCAACCTCTCACTCAGAACTGAAGAACTCTCACTGAAAAATGACTAAATCCAGGCATCTGCTCCTAATCGTTTAACCACATGTTAAGGAGAATCGTTTTTCTGGCTGGGTGAATTTAGGAAATGAAGAGATCCACCAATCATATTCTGTAAATTGCTCCCCGGTAAAGCTGTAAGAATGCTCATCAGTCTCATCACTGAAGCAGGTTAGAGCACAGTCATTAGGGCAGCACAAATTATAATTGCATATCTTTCTACTGACTTAAGGAGAGAAAGAAAAGAAGGGAATGAACATTAACACTATTGTGTTAATTGCCTTAAAAGTAACAGAATATTTTAAAATCATATATGCAAAGATAATTATAATATTTTGGAATCCCACAAATGAGAGAACAATAGCTGTAAAGAAGAGGAGAGAGTCAACAGCAGGTAATCTTTCCAGGGCTTGTAGAAAAGAAACTAACACTTCATTAACCTCGAAAGTTTCTCTCCTGCCTTTTTCTGCCTTACTCAGTCAGATAAAAAATAGAAATGATAACATTCTCCTCCAGCATTTTATTTCTTTGAAGGAAAATGTCGTAGAGATTTTAAAATGTCCCTTTCTTCATTCTTTTTCCCCTCCAAACAGTGACAAAGCTGAAAACAGCCATATTAAAATTAACTGAGAAAAAATATGAAGCACATTGACTTCAGTACTATTTATTTCTGGGTAGTAATGGAGGGCATGAAACAAGAGAAACAAGATAAACCTGAATAGCATGAAGATGGGGGTATTTGATTTTATCTTGTCATGGTTTTGAGGCATTAGAGGGTAATTTTCAATGGTCGAGGGGGGAGATTAACAGAACAACCGGGTTGAAAGGGACAATGGAGGTTTTCTAGTTCAAACCCCTGCTCAGGCAGGAAACTATACCATTTCAGACAAATGGTTGTCCAATCTCTTCTTAAAAACCTCCAGTGTTGGAGCACCCACAACTTCTGGAGGCAGATGGTTTCACTGATTAATTGTAC